ATTCGTGTTCCTCCCTCAGTTTCATAGGTAGGCATAGGTCACCTCTTTCCAACTTATTTTTGTCCATTTTTCCGTACCCCATTATTTTTTGTGAATGATGTTGGTGTTCTTCCTCATTTTGCCCTTTGCAGCAATAAACTTTCTTCTACATCAAATTTTTATCTTTTTTCCTTCTTCTCTTGAGAGAAGTCTCTTCACTGAATCGATTTCTAGGGAAGGTGATTTGCTGGTTTAAAGAGATACTAATGTTTTAAAAACATGCTTTTTTCGAAGCTTTGAACGTTTACTTCATAATGCCATGCAGCTTTTCACTACAATTTTTTTGTAATTGTCTGCGCCAATGTGTCTCTCAACTTTCACCTTTCCAAATTATGTGTTAAATCCAAGGGTACAAGGAGTGCAAATGAATAAGGTAAGCAAAGATTTTAAGTATTTGTAAGCTTCTCTTTACCTTGACGTAAGAATCTTTCAAAAAAGTATAGATTCAAATAGAAGAGAAAATGGAACTTTCTTCTCAAATCTGCTTAAACTTGAAAGTGCGCATGTGCAGCGGTGGTTAGAGATCTTCTACAATGCGCAGGTGATCGCTGTTTCGATTGCACACCCAGTTTCACCTAGCCTTCTTTCCTTCGGTTGTAAGCAAACTGTCACCGGATTTATCTTAAGGGATAGCAGTACTGATATGGTACATCGGTAGGTCACCGCGAACCATTGTGTAGAGCATATATGCATTCAATCACCTCTAACAACGTTTAATGACATCGAATTTATGGCGCATGCCTTAGGGATTGAAAAATGGCGAAGCTTTATTCTTTGTCCCATATCCTCTTTAAAGCAGTGCTTATCAACATGCAGTAATATTTCTGCCGCTTTGAACATCACACCTGTGAAAGCAGTTGAAGAAAGTTATCATTTCTAAAGTTAATCAATAAGTTGGCTGTGAGCTCTGGTAGGACTTACTGTTTTGTGAAGGAAGAACGTCGTTTGAAGGACAACGATGCGCGGTCAGAGGATGAGGCAAAGTTGCAGTCTCCTCTCCAGCCAGTTTCTCTTGCGCTGATGTCATCTTTGATTTCAGTAGTGACATGATTGACAGCTTGTTGTGCCAACACATCGCTCAAAAAAGTCGTTTTGTTCGGGACAGCATATCGGTTTGGCTATTTGGTCCCAAGTGTCATCGCGACACATAAATCTTTTCGGCTATAGCGAACTTCTTCGTCCACAAAAGTATTTTGCTTTGATGGGTTTCGAAACAGCGTCTTGAACGTTTCGTTTCTTATTCTCTCATTTTTAGCAGATTTTCCCTGGATCATCGTGCAATTCTTGCCCAGAATATAAAGATCATTATTTTCTTCCTTGTTCTGCCGTCGCTGGACTACAGTAGCCATCTTCTGGCTTATCAACACAGCGAATTTCTACACGATTATTTGAACTATGCAGATCCTAGCACTTTTTATTTTCGATCCGTTTCTTCGATTCATTATCCACGGAGGCCTTCGAACTTTTTTACGTGTGGTTTCAGCTGCTGCTTGGGGATATTTCCTTTGTCATGAATTTCGTTGAATACTGATCGCATAGATTCTCCTTGGGTCCGGGGTCGGCAGGGTAAGAGTGTTCCAATGGGGGTGTACAGAGTGAACCGCGTTTGGTGCCAATTTCCCGATTCCGGAAAATTACAAGCTTGGTGAGGTCAGAGTGAGGCGTTGAACCAGTACCGTGCTCGTGATGAACGGCGTAGTTACCAATGCGCTACCCGCCCCGTGACTAAAGTGCTATTTCAGGAACATGGAAACAACCTTTAAGGTGAATCGCTGCATATTTTCTTACAAATCCGTTTTCTGTTTAATTACTCTCTAATTAAATCACAATCTCCCCACTCAGTCAAATTAATAACAGATACCAGAGTCTAAGAATTTAAAAAATGTCACGAAAAAAACTGTCAAAAAGTGGAAAACGAATTCTGAAAAGTGCAATAGTTTCTTGAACATTCTCTAACTGTTGCAAGGGCCTCGTGTTGCAGTGAATAACACGAGAGCCCTGAAAAGGGTAGTCGGTGGTATGAATGTGGCCTAGGATCTAAGTTTTGCAAATATCTCACCATCGTAGTGGTTCACATTTCATTTTTCAAGTTGTTCACACTGCAATGACTTACTGTTGCTTCTAAGTGTCAAACTGCGATAAATATTTGAATTTTGTATTCGAATTTGAACTGTTTTGAATTAATTTTGAGCGAAGAGTTCATTCTCTGAAAGAGTCTTACAATCGAAGAAATTCGACATTTCCATGTGGAATCTCAACTAAGAATAAATCAATTTAGAGAATCATTGCCATCTAGCTAGTCCCGAGGTGGTTGGTATACCTTGTGTGATTAACTGTAGTGACCTAAGAAGGCTTAAGTGAGGCTATCTCGAAGATGGAAAGGAACGAATTTTTTTCGCACTGTTAATCTATCAGTCAAGTGAGAATGGTGCTGGGCTCATGCAATGTTTTATAAGGATGGCCCATCCAAGCATTCATGTAATCAACTCTACACCTTGTTCACTGTAATATTTCTTTATAATAGATGACCTCTTCTCAACGGTTTACCGCCTCATCATGGCTGGGAGGTATTCCTGGTTGTCGAACTGCGATGTACAGCAGAGGATTCGCGCTCCACCCGCAGGGTCTCACAAGCTGAGAAGAAGGAGTCCGGCGTTTCCATCAGGAAACCTAGCTAAGAGTTAACCAATACCAGAAACCGCCACCGTCCTGGTATCGAAGTCACATGGTGGTAAATCTCGCTCTGATCCACAAGGGCTGCGACTGCCCATGGTGGTGAAGACCTGGGGCAGACTTTGGCCAGGCCGTCCTCGTGATTCTAGGAAACCATAATGGATTAACCAGCAAATCTCAGAAAAATGATGATTATGCTGGGACCCTCACAACCAGTGAGGATGGGCCATTAAAGTATCAAATATCAAGTAATACATATCGTAATCCACTGCAGAGTCAAAGAATTGAGTCTAAAAATTTCCAGAAGGTTTTTAACAGCTGCAGTTTTACGTTTATGGCAAAACTTTAAAGTTAACCAGATTTTAATCTGCTTATCATTCGAGGAATTAAAGACGAAGCGACCTTTATTCTTATTAGATTTAATATTGTGTTTCTACGATTGAGTTCTTAAAAATTACTGACACAGAAAGGTCGCCAAATTAGAGTCGTTTTCAGTTCCTCATTCTTGCTTTAAACTGAAGCCTTTCATTCACTCATAGAACGTTAAGACGTTAATTTTAAGCATTAGTATATTGTACTCTCGATTTAGTACTACATTGTCGGAGGGATTTATGACTGTATAGGTGTAAAAGTTGAATAAAAAAAATTGCCTAGATTAGAATTAAATTGAATTAAAATTAAAATAAATTAAAAATAAAATAAATAAATCAAATGGCCAAATACAGTTCGCAATGTCTCCATTACTATTAGAACCAACTAATACAAAAGAACTTTGGACATTTGAACGCAAACATCTCCTTGCTTTAGTCGTCATTTCCTGACATTCTCTAGTAATTTTCTCTTCGACGAGCGTGTTTGAATCGTTCAGTTTGTCGACTGGTTTACTTTCTTCATCGCCGATTCTCTCACCAACAAGCTCTTTGTTGATAATTATCACTCACTGAGCTCAAAGGCTTTCATTCCTATTTCTTCGTTCGCTGCAGTTTCTCAATTTTGTTACGTAATAAAACCACGAAAGCAACGATGCGGTTAGTGATGAAATCCATTAGAAAACAAGCTGTGTTTCGGCTCTTCAATCGATTCAACAACGCCTTAGGGCTACTATTCCAAGACTCTAAAGAGAATGGACTCTACTAGCACTTTCTCTTTCTATTCTTCTCTAAAAAAAAAAAGGCGAAATTTACAAGTAGCAGCGGAAACAATATGCGATATGTTCGATTACTTTTGTAAGCAATTAATGTGAAGAAAACGAATCGAATGCAAGCAGGATCCATAGTATATCCGATGATAGGACACGTAAAATAATAAGGAAAATAAAGCTACATATATACGTACACATGTTTGTATATGTAGTGTCTGTGGCGCAGTAGTCGGAAGCGCCCTGCAATACACACGGTATCGATCCCGTCGAGCTTTCCATCCCTCCGGGGTCGGTAAATTGGTACCAGACTTGTCTGGGAAAAAATTATGCTCTGCTCCGCAGTCCAATTAGGAACGCTCCAGCCCGCCTATCTCAGGAGTCCTGGAGGAATTGCTCGACTAGCATTCTACGACATTCGAGATGAAATGAAAATCCTCAAGCAACAACCGAAGCCACACGTAAAGTTGGAAGATCTTCGTAAATGATGGAGGCGAGAAAACGATTTGAATGCGAGCAGTACTGGGATCAACATAGTAGACGTAAATATGGGTGAAATAAAATAAAATAAAGAAATAAACAAGTGCAATGACGGGTGCGTGTTGCACAGTGTTTAGAGGTATCCTGCAATAAGCATTTGGTCGTTTTCAGATTTCAATTTCTGACCAAGCCAATTCCTCCAACTTTCCGAGGTCAGAAAACCAATGTCAGGCTAGTTTGGAAAGGCAGAAGCATGAACTCAAAACCATTAGCCGTTTAAATTCATTGATTAGGCCAAACACGCAATCACTCGTTCTTACGTCGCCCTATGAACTCCGTTGTTTGGGGCATCCGTAATGGTATTGACGAACGTCCAATCTTTATCCTTGTACTATGTTTTGAGAAATCTTGATATGGTTAGCCTTTTTATCTGATACGAGAAAAATATGCGAAGTCCTCAATTCCCGTAGGGATGGCTGCCGATGTCGTTCTGACAGGCGCTCAAATCTTCTGATAATGCATCAAGTTGTTACATCGTGCTTCTCTCGTAGTGCTCGATTTTCGAGTTTCTGTTTCTCTTATTAAATTTTTCGTACTAAGTTGTAAGTCATAGTGGCGGTAAGGTTTCAGGAAGACGTACGTCTCGGTAGGAAGGCTACTCTGTAGAAGAATGCGCATTGCGTTGTTGCTTTTAAGCAGCGCATGCGCTGTGTTCACCATCAATGACGGCTTAACGGACGTGATACAGGAGACGATACGGTATATGTTGGGTTTCAGTCATATGCCAAATGGTAAGTTATGCTCTAGAGCATAGCATTAAGCCGTGGAATGTTAATGAATGTATTTTCTTTGTGGTAGAATGCTGTAATTATGTGGAGGATTACCAGCAAGATGTTTCAAAGCAGAGATCGGTCGCTACTTGGAAAAGTTAGAAATGTAAAGAAGAAAAGAAGGGCGAAAAAGGATATCTAATAAAAAAGAACGAGAAGACATTAGTTGCTATGAGTACACTAAAAATCGCTCCATGGAATCAACTAGTTTCGCTGAGAATCTTAGGAGACTAGAGTTTCTGTGAAATGAGCAATGCAGTACAAATAAATAAATAAACTGATTTTTTCGAGGTTTACACTGAAAACTATTTTCGTCAAACGAAGAATGTTATGAAATACAATGTAAATCAATTTAATGAATGTCGAAATTATAGAGGAAGAGTGCAAAGGAATTATGATGAAGAAGATGAAAAAGTGGTTGTAAAATAGAACGAGGAGTGAAAATGAGGTGCTGGAAAAGAGAACGGGAGAGAGAAAGAGACGGAGGGAGAAAGAAAGAGAGGAAAGAGAGAATGGTCGTGATGGACTAACAGTGGTGGAGGCAAGAAGCATGGAGATGAAGTATAAAGTTTTAGACGAAATCGGAGGAAATCTCCTGCGAAGCAGATGCTTCTCGTGAAAATCTGATGCGGTAAGAATCCAATAATGTGAAGTGTAGAACTGTGATAGTAGGAAGAAATTTTGCGGGTGAGTTCGAGGTTTTGGTGGATATCAGCGAGCTGCCCAAGGAAGTTAGTACTCCTTAAAGCCTGGTGAGGTAGGAATATGGTGCGATGAATTATTAGATTTGAATCTTTCCATTATGTTCCTTTAACAAAAAATATTTTTTGACTTATTCGTAGTACAATATAAAAATGCTTGTTTAGAGAACACCAAAGTGCCATTTCGTGTTTCTCACAGAAATGCCGCAACAATGCAAGCTATCTACGATACCTTTGTGGAAGACGATGGCTCAGATGATGGAAATGTCGTCCGTGCCATCGATCCCGCAATAGGTAAATTGAGAATCATTCTTTCATTTGTTTCGTTGCCTGATTAGTTACGTAATATAAATGGAAGTGTGCGTTAAGATATCAGCTTTATACCAGCGCCGATCTTTATTGAACTTCGGAATAGATAATCGTTATCTTCACTTATTTATACGCTTGCAACAGGTTGTTGAATTCTGGCTAACGTTTTGTTGTTTACGCATTCTTCACGATGATATGAGTCCAGTGTTTCCAGCAGTGGTTTCCTCTTTCGATATGGCTTTTTGTGCTCATCACATCGTATTGAAAAGAACACAAGCGCGCAAAACTCTCCAGGCATTCTGGATTAACTCCAGAAATCCGAAAATGAACCGCAGGGAAGAATGCCTCATTATCACGCGTGATATAGGGCAGTAGACTGCTATTCTGATGGGAGGGGCACATTATACTCCCATGTGATTTCTGTGCGGTTGGTCTTCACGCGACATACTTAGTGGAAACCTCATAGAAAGCGGTGACTATGCAAAACTGTGTTCAATGTGATTGAAATCTTGGTTTAGAGCTTCTTTGTTTGATTATGGAGGTGTCTGGCCGAGTAGATTGCTATCAACTTGACTTTTGCAGACTCTGAGGAAGGCGAAATCCTCCGAAACGTCAGCTTATTCGTGAATAAAGAATAATAACACCTCACGTTTGCTCAACAAAAATACGAAGAATTACATCGTATTGAATCGAACAGAATGGAGCACCGCAGAAACGAAGTGGTGTTACCCAACACTGCCTCTTTTATGCAGGACTTTATCCGCGCTCAAGTGGCCTGCCTTACGCGGCGGTTCTCCAGGATGCCGGACAGGCGGTTATCAATATCGAACCGAAAAAAAAAATTCACTCACCAAGACGAGTGCGAAAACCAGCCCTGCAAGAAGAAATATCAGCTTTAATTTTGGACAAATAGTTTTCGAATTGTGCAGCGAAAGCAAACCTGAATTTCAATGTGAAAAAATGTTACTGCTTTTGTACTAATTCTTTGTCTTCAGGAAAGTTGGATGGTCACGAAATGCTAATCTTTGACATATCTGGATTTGAGAAAGAACAGGTACTGTAGACATTCTGTTATTGATTTTATGAAAAAGGACGTAAAGTGTTCTGCTTCTCAATCGAGAAGAAAATTCATAAAACGCAGAAAAAGCACAGGCATAGCACAAAACATAATTTGGTAAGGTAATCTCTTTGCAAGGGGCGGATAACACAATTGTAGTAATGTCCGTCATCACGGGCATGGTGTTAGTTCGATTCCGCTCTGAGCCAACAAAGTCTTTCATCTCTCCGGTGTCGGAAACTTGATCCCGGATTTGCCTGGGAAAAAAATCATTCTCTTCAATCCAATTGGAAATGCTCCAGCACGGTTATCCCAAAACTCCAAGGATAAATGCTCGGCCACCATTCTACGACATTCCAAATGAAATGAAAATCGTCAAGTAGTAGCCGAAGCCACACGTAAACCTTCTTCATGGATGGGGGCGCGATGAGACAAATCGAATGCGAGCAGTACTGGGATTCGCACAGTATATGTTAGGACGGGCCATATAATGTTTAAAAAAATCTTTTTGAAAGATCTCTTCGGAAAATATGAGCCTTTATGACGCCAATATTCAACAAAAGACATCAAGTATTAAAGGCAGAAATATTTTCTTAAGATCAGAAATCATGTTGCGGCTAAAATAAAGCTAGCAGGAAACACTTGCATACCGGGACCTTCAAGCATTTCTTCAATTCCCGATTTCAAACATTCAATCACGTTGTCCCTTAACGAAGGATTTTCCATTAGCAGATTACCATCAATCTAAATTGTATTGGGTCTCAGTTGAAATCACTTGGTCAACTTGAAAAAAGCTATGTAAGGTTTCCAAAAAAACAGCTCGCAAGAACATTCTTCAGATTATGCGTGGCGAGCTGCATTTTTACCTACGTCGCCGTGACGCGTCGAAATCCGGAAGCGCGCGACAACTGCAAGCGAAATCGCTCTGCCTTAACGAGTACTGTAACGAAAGTCAGGCGTTGGAGATGATAGTGGTGAGATGGCGTATTTTGCAAGAATGAAAACCAGTAACGCATTCAATGAGTTCAGATCTCTACAGAGAAAGTGGTATGGGACGTGACGAAACCTCTTGCTGAGGCAAACGCTCTGGCTTCGAATCAGCTCGTTATTCGGGTGAATTTTGGTGTATTTAAACCTATTTTGGTAAAATAGAGTTATATATATATATATACTAGCTGAAAGACACGCGAAACGAAGGTCTCGCATGGTGTGGTGGTGAGCACGTTACTCCCCGGAAAGGACAATAGTGCGTTCGTTTCCACCACAGATACCTGCGGAGTTTTGTAAATATCCCAGCATAATTGTGGTTGTTTCACAAACAATGCCCTGCCGTGAAAGCTTGTAAAAAGGGTAGTAAATATAAAGTCAACATTATATATACATATATTTTTGATGAGCTTGCATGAGGTTGATAAATAATCTTCATCCGGCTGAAGTTTCCACGTCTACGTCCTTATTAGGGATGTCTTAGATCGTCTTTAACGGTTCTGATAAAAACGAAGACGTCGGAACGTTAGCCGGATAAAGATTATTTATCAAACTAGTTTAAGTTCATCAAAGAAAGAATGCTTATTGATTATTCGTGCTGAGGTTGAAGGGAAATCGGTTTTGAAATATTATTATGAAAGTTAGGGGCGCGTGGCACGTCGTCTTGCTTTGCTTGTTTGTAATTGCAGAAGAATAGATTTCGTAGTGTCCAGATTTCCTTGAACAAATCACGATAGCAAATGCTGTCATCCTGTGTTCATTTACGAATATTCGTTCGGATCATAACAGACGAAGAGGAGCAGACTTGTATCCATAGAGAACCACACCGATAGCATTTATGTGTTAGTTGTTTCTAGATCTCTCGTCGTGATGTCCGAATGCGTCGCTATGTTGAAATCGTAAGAAAGTGCTCACCATTTCTATTGGTTTTTTCCCGTGCGGAAAACATTGTTGATACTGCAGTGGTACGAAAACATGTGGAAAGCACAAGAAGAAAAAGACATGAACTTGGTGAGGAGATTAAGATTACATAGAAATGAACACAGCTTAAATCCACTATTTTTAAATCGGCGTAGAAAAATAGCAATTTGACATGATATTCATTCATCTAAATAAGAACTATTTAGGTGATTTCCTTGATTTTTCTCTATTGAAAGTCGGGAAACAGTTCCACTTGATGAGCATCAAACAACTGCATAGAACTCTAGGAATTTTCTTATGCAAAGCTAATTTTAACGTTTGTGAATGTTAGCCTCGTCGAACTTTTGACATTTAGTTGTCCGAGTGTATTCCATAAATATCACGAAGCTTGTGATTTCGTTTGAGGAAATAATTCGTATAAGTCGGCCACAGAATCGACATCGCAGTCTACACAATCTGCAACAGAAGCACGCTTGGATAACATGAAGTCCTTCAGGGAATTCATCCGGGAGAACAAACCGTCGTCAAAGAAGATGAAGGTATGCACTTAACTTCATGTCAATGAATGGTTAATCTCCATTGACGCATCTAATTTTTTGCAGTTAACCAAAAAAAAGCATACAGACAAAGCTCACTGTAAAACGAATCATAGATTATTATCAACTTATGGTTTCAAGGAATTACTAATAAGTCCGAATGATTTTTAAGGCGTTTTTCGACGTGTTTAAATATGAAATCACCGTAAATCACCGTACCCACACCAAAATGAAGCTATGGTAGAAAGTTGGTTGCTTTCAAGATTGGCTCTCTACACCTCTCACCACGGCCACCACTTACCGTAGTAAGCGAAACGGGTAATGGTAATCAGAACGACCAAGGCTTTATCTTTACCGCTATCAGTTTTCTCGTTATCTTTTACCATAAGGATAACTGTCCACCACATGAATTGCTGTTGTGATGGAAACGGGCCATACTTAGTTCCATTTGCATATATTTACAAAATTTCGACTAATCGTGCCATGCCTTGTACCGTAAGACATCAAAAAACGTCTATTTCTCATGGATGTTGGACAACGGTGATGGCGAAGGTTGTGCTACGTCCGCATCAACACGATGTCGTCACATAGAGTTGTATTAATGGTTAATAAATATCTCTCTTAGGTCTCTAAGCTGAAGCCAGAGTGATCATAAACTGTCTTAATAGCAATCTTAACCCTTTTATTTACTGAAAAAGTGTTCTTATTAGATGAACGCCTTGATTATGGAATGACCCTAATCAGTGGAAGGTTTCGTATTAAAGTTGGTGAAAAGGCAACAATCTGTTGTAGTTCGACGTTAGCATCGACAACACTAAAATAAGCGAGCCTATACGAAAAAGAGTATAAGGAAAGTTCAAACATAAAGGCTCTTCACTACCAACAAGAAGACGATCTAAATTTAACCCTTTTTATTTACTGCCTTTTTCTTTTTAATGGCAAGGTATATTGCAAAATATAACTCGTATATCAATCCCGTTGACGGGTGATTGCTGATGGCAAAAGACCAATAGAACTAACTGAGAGACAGGCAAGACGAAGGGCCCGGATGGTGTGGTGCTGAAGTGCGCTGCTCTCTGGTAAGGACAATAGCGCGCGTTCGTTCCCCACCGCATACACCTGCGGTCCGGAGTTTTGCAAATATCTCAGCATTATATACGTGTCTTTTCGGACGTCTGCTTTACTGTTAAAATATTTTTAAACAAAGGTGGTTATCTAATTAGTTCATCATACACAAGAAAATGATGGAAGACAAGTAGCATTTTCGAAGCTTTCGAACGAACAAATCAGCCATGTAAACTCAAGGAAAAGGAAAAAAAGGAAAAGCGTCGTTTTCTTGTTCAGCAATCGCGAGGTTTTTAAACAGCATACATTTACCTCCATAGAAAGACACAATACAATACAACGCTAGCTGACGTTTCGGCAGTATCGCCTTCTTCAGAGCCTGGAAGGGTATACTGATATACAATCTACTAGGCCAAACGCTTCAATAACACTTACAAAAAGAAGAAAAATTCTACGGTTATTACATGATCGACAGCTTCTCGAAAAACTCATCGCTTTTTACGTGACTTCCAGTGAGGAAGATTAGAACAGCTGATTATAGTTGAGTATGATTGACGACTGAGCCATCCCACATCAAAAATCGATGCGAACGTACGGGATCAGGTCGCGTATGACCTCCGGGCATTCATCCCTGCTATTCATTGTAGGGTTTTTGGCATTGATCCAAGCCAATGAGGAAGTTTAGAACAGCTGATTATAGTCGCATATGGTTGACGACTGCACCATCCCACATCAAAAATCGATGCGAACAGGGATCAGGTCGCGTATGACCTCCGGGCATTCATCCCTGCTATTCATTGTAGGGTTTTTGGCATTTATCCAAAAAGCCTCAAGAAGTTTCCTCGCTGGTGTTTTAGTGCATGTCTCCTGTGCAAGGATATGGACTTTAACATCAAAATCGTCTCCGCTATGGTTTTGTATCCTATGCGTGCCTAGTGGGGTGCTTTTCGTTTGCCATCTAGGTGTTCTTTTATACGGATACACATAGGTCTGCCCGTTTCGCCAATATATTCATCTCCGGAATTATTGCAAGAGATCAGGTATATCGTACCTGCACTCATGCAGTCACCGTCCCTGCCGTAAGGGCAAATTACGCAATTTGTTGTTTCACACAGACGGTCATACAGGTGGTTGCGAACTAATTGGCGACGTAGAGTAGTCGGTGGTGTTTCAACTATCGCTACCGATTCCTCTAGATCTGCCCTTCTTAAGCATCATTTTATAGCTGCGCTTACTTCATCGCTTATAAAAGGCAACATAAACGGGATTTTGTTTTGGCCAAGCGTTTCGCGTGGGCGCGTCGTTCTCCTTGTAAACTTATCTCGTGGGGTTACTATTTCGTAGCCATTGGAGATGGCTATTTGCCGAGCCAAGTCGCGCGATTCTTCCTTTAGTTCCCTAGTAGTGCAAAATTCATATTCCAATGCCGAAGTTAATAGAAAGTCGATCTTGAGAACTATTTCAGGGAAAAGGAGAAAACTTATGAAACCATATAATTCTTAACCACAGGCTTTGCAGGCTTGCGCTGGTTACCAAAAATGACGAACCTTTTTAGCTAAAATGCGACAATAACCAAAGAGGAAAGATATCAAAGGCCTAGGAGGTGTTTTGTAGCGAAAATAAGACGAATTTTAAAAAAAAGAAAAGGAAGTGCGGATTCGACTAGGTGCGATTTCACGATAGAGCTGCTTCCTCTTCGAGTAATTTCCAAAACAGTTCAGAGACGATGAAAAAGTGAAAAAGGTTTCGCGTAGACATAGTTTATGTAGTTTAGTTAATAAAAATGAGAAAAGTTTTGTAGCAAATACATTCGGTAACGCAAACACCGAAACAGAACTTAAAAACCTTTGCAGGTTCGAGGAGGTCGAAATAAATCGTATAAAGACGACATCTGGCACGGTTTTGGTGAAGAAGAAGAACCGGTCGAGAAAGTAGGAAAGCGACTTCCGATGTCAAACGACATTCGCGTTGTACTGCAAGAGGCTGAGGAAGAAGACGCGGTCAGGCTTTGTTGTTTTCCAAACACACTATATGCCTATCAAAGTTCGTTTCTATGATGACTCCGAAAAGCATAAACTAAGGTTTTCAAATACCGTAAAATCGGATTTGCACCGTTCACTAAAATTTTCTAAGGTCGTCTTGTTTTCAGAGATGTCAAAAACACGTTACGCTCATAAATATGAAAGTTCTGGGCTGGGAAAAGTGGATTATCGCTCCACCAACGTTCGAAGCCGGATTCTGCTCAGGAAAATGTCCAAATCCACTTCCAAAGGTTTGATTAACAATTTATGAGCCCTTCCACTCTTACGGTACTATAGCATGCTATTCAAAAAAATTCGGTGTGTTCCCTAAGAAAGCAAATTCGGAGTGTTCAGGAAATGCATCCGTCGAACCATGCGTTACTGCAAAGCTTGCTACACTCGTCGACTGTGCCAGCCGTGTGTTGTTCACCGGAGCATATGCGTTCAATGACTTTGTTCTATCGTGACGAACTCGGTCGTTCGACCATTAAGAACTTTGAGAACATGATCGTCGAGTCGTGCACCTGCCAATAGTAGCATGCATCTGTCCCTAGGCGTGTTCTGGAGCACCAAATATCTGCTAGACTTATCCACAATCCACCCACTTCAACTTCACCTTACTACATTGTTGCATTGTACTTGGAAAAGTATGTCATCTTTGTGGATATGAGCTACATCGTCCTTGTTTTGTTGATTCTCGTTTTGTAGTTTGATCGCTCTGATATACGACCTCGATGAAATTCTCGCGTAGCTTTAATACTGTGGCTGGTAGCAGACCGAATAATGTGCATAACTAGCTGATACTTCTTCAAACAATCTACTGTATGTATTTTAAACTACAGTAACCGCTCCTAGTGTGAAAATCCTCAGAATGACTTCTTTCTTAGACAGCCCTCATGAACGGACTCTGTTATGACTCGCCAGCGTATTCTTGTTATAATTGTGTTCACCTTTTACAATGCAAGATATTGCCTACTTTCCGTTTAATTAACCCCAATTACTCAAGGAGGATTTGATCTTAACCAATATTCTAGCGTTTTCTTACATGTTTCCTTTCTCCTCTAACTGCCCAACTATTTCTTGCCTTTCTACTCATTGACGCAAGAAAATGTGCTGCCTATTGGTCGGAACATGTCAGTTGGTTTGAAAAATGCATGTATAAAGCTGAATCCAATTTGTTTCGTCGTTCTAGCTAGGAAACACTTACTAACCGCTTACGAAAAGCATTTGAGAGAAAATGTTATTTTGAGCAAAAGTAATAGAAGTTCCTGAAATAGACAAACTGAATTTTATATATAAATCAGTAGTAATGGTTGGATATGTTGAAGATAAGCATCTGGCTTTCTAAGTCTACCTGATGAACGGCTTGGCTTCAGAGCTGACTCCATGACCACTCTTTGAACTCTAGATATCCTTTGCATTAGCGTACGTATCAGAAATCATGTAGGCAACATGAAGTCATTTAGCACTATAGTATACGAGCACCTAGAGTTGATTTGCACCAGGACTATCCAATATCATACAATTGAGACCAGAACTTGGAGGCTCCGACACACATCGGTAGCCATTGGCGGAAAAAGTTTCCGTGACCTAGTGTTAGGAATTCGTTGACACATAAACTGTCTAAATAATAACTGATGGATGAGAGCCGTTAGCGAAGTAAGCATACGCTATGTTAAGCGCACAGAAAGAAGATCACTGTCCCGATGGTCAGAATTCCTAGCGAGAAAAATTAGAAAAGAAAATGTAAAAGACTTCGGCTTCTTAGGTCAGGCATATTCCACCTAAGTAATTTTACTAACATTTAAATGCTTCAAAATGTGGAATAGTAAATGAGTCCTAAGCCTTCTATGTATCTGGAAAACTAAGCGTGTAGGCCTAATTCTCTCGCTGATGTCGATATGGGCCATTTAAAAAGAACTGAATTCTCACACTCTTTTATCGAGATTCATCAACAACTGAACTGCAGCATTTGCACAAGAACACAGCACATGATTTTCATTAAGCTGAAAAACAGTACAACCAATACTTACCAAAACAAATTCTGTAGATACTTGGTGCTTGATGCTTGAACGGCCCGTCCTCATTGGACCAAAGCACGCCCCAGGTCTTCACCACCACAGGCAGTTGTAGCCCCTGTGGAACAGAGAAAAATTTGCCACCATGCGACTTTGATACTAGGACGGTGGTGGGTCCCGGTATTGGTTTACTCTTACCTAGGCATCCTGATGGAAACGCCCGACTTCTTTCCAGCTTGGGAGACCCTGTCCGGGGACGAATTCCCTCGCTGTACATCGCAGTCCGACACCCGGGAACACCTCCGGGTCACAATGAGGCGACAAGCCGTTGGGAGGAATGAGACAATAAAGGAATAAAGGAAGAAGCTCTCGGCGATCATCAGTGCCTGATGGAACAACTAAGACACTGTTTTAAGAGAGTCATTAGTTGCGCAATCGACAAGCCGTGCGTTTTATTTACTCTACTGTCGATACATAGACGTCGTCTGTTCCACACGGGAACAGATGGATGAGTGCTTTGAATTGATTTGTTAAACCGACAGTCAGAGTATATAAAATTTACACGAGAAAAACCAACCAAGAACTGGCTTCCATTCTTAAACATCCAAATAAAGCTCTCAGCAAGTGGCTATGTAACAAAATGGTATCGCAAGCCAAGTAGTAAAAACATTCTAGTCCACTGCCTCTCCTTTCATCCCTCACACACGAAAAAAGCACTTATCAAAAATATGTATCGTACGGCTAAAAAAGTGTGCACAGGAGAAGAGGAAAAAAGGGAATCGCGAAACCTGGCACGAAAAATTGCCATTTCCAATGGCTACGAAGTAGAAGCCACTCGGGTTAGAGGAAACGTTGGGTAGTTTCCCAAAATAATATTTCAGACGCAAGTAGGATCCCCTCTAAGCTGCCCTTCATATCAAATGAAGTAAGTCACGCCATTAACAAGTGCTTAAGAAAAAAAGGTCTAGAAAATTATGTAACGATTATTGACATCCCACCCAATACCCTACGCCGCCAGTTAGTTCGAAACCGTCTCTATGATCGTTTGTGCAGCTCAGAAGACTGTATGATCTGTCCTAACGGGAGAGACGGGGATTGCATGAGTTTAGGTATAATATACTTGATCTCATGTAATGCATGCGGCGAGGAATATATCGGGGAAGCGGGTAGGCCACTTTGTGTCCGCATAAAAGAACATCTAGATGGAAAAGCTAAAATCCGTTTAAACACCCTTCTAGGTACGCATAGGGCACAAAAGCACAACGGCGATGATTTTGGAGTGAATGTGCGGATCCGAGCGCAGGAATCGGAAACATCAACGCGCAAAACTCCTGAGGCGTTTTGGATAAATTTCAAAAATCCAAAGATGAACCGGAAGGACGAATGCCTCACTATCACGCGTGACCTGGCGCCCTATTTGGAAATGATATTTTTACCCCGGGGTGTGTCTTGCTCGCGTGAACTACGTGTGGGCCAGTCCCGCACGTAACATCACGGTGAGTGGCCTTTCTGTTAAATATGTCGTCTATTTGAAAGTTTGGTCTTCATTAATACTTTAACATTTCTTTTCCACCGAATAATAAAAATATTCTAATATAAAATACGTCTAGGCTCTGAGGAAGGCGAAGTCCCCGAAACTTCAGCTATCGATTAATAACATCAAAAACAACGACAACGACAACGAAGACCTGTACCAACCTCGCGTCAGCTTAAGAAGATCAGTCTATAAGATCACATAAATAAATATATCAACTATCTATGTCGAGGTTTATAGAAAGTCGGTCTTTCGAGCCGTCTATCAACTCAGTCGTTTAAAATCTCGACTTTTCATATCACTTTTTCTCATTTACAGAGATCAAAAAGGAAGCATGTAACTCGACGGTTGCAGGTACCCTGCAACAATGCAGCTACTTTGATCTAACGGCCCCGACTCACCGAACCCTACAACGTTCCGGATGGGCAAATCGGTGTTAGACAGGTCTAGGAGAATAGCAACACTGACGTGACACATTGCTAGCTCACCGCGAGTTGTTGGGATAGACCAGATAGGCACATTTAACGATGCTTAGTGAAGTCTGACCGGGCCGCATGGCCCGTCTCTTAGAGATTAATCAACGTAGAATGCCTTAGCGTTTATCTATATCCTGTATTCATTTAATTAAGTATTTAGATCACCGTCTTCAAAGGCCCGTTACATGAAGTCCTTGTTTGGTGAAGTGAGAGAGGTCATATTTGCATCGCCTGCAGAGTAAACCTCTGTTATGGTCTTTATTTAGGACGTTAAGTGTCTGTTAAGCATCGTTTTTCAGCAACTCCGAAATAGACGCCTAGAGCTTCACACCATAGTAAACTTGCCGATCGTTCTGAACAACAGGGAAATATGCTTTCTTATAACACGGATCTTCCATAGACAGCAGCACTTTTGCAATGGCTGCAAATTTTGCTTCCAACTGAGCGGCATTGTAAAAAGTCAAATCCATCTTTAAAATAGATGTAGTTAAGTGAGCAGCTGTTTTCGGAAATCCTCCTTTGGTGAACTTGCATGAGGTTGATAAAGATATTTATTTTCGGCTAACCTTTCGACGTCTTCTTCTTCATCAGACTCGACGATCCGAGCCGATAATCCACCGCTCTTCTTCGTCTCGATGTGGCGGCTTTTCCTTCGTGTCGAGTCAGATCTTCCTCTAGGGGTCATCTCCTCGAATAGTTAATTAGTTAAGAAAATAAGTTAATTTTGTCGAACTGTCACAGCCATCAGCCATCAGCATCCTGCATAAAAAGGCACCATCGAGTGAGTATGCCCCATTCGAGAGATAATCCGCTGAAGAAGACCTGACTCGACACGAAGTCGAAGCCGCCACATCGAGACGAAGAAAAAGCGCGGACCATCGGCTCGGATCGTAGGCTGTGGTGAAGACGAAGGCGTCAAAACGTAAGCCGAAAATAAATATCTTTATCATCATCAAAGTGTAAGGTCATCAAAGAAAGCATACATGTTGTTTGGTAAAACCAAGCTTAAAGGAAAGTCGGTTTTAAAATATTGTTTTCGAAACACTCATGTCTTTTGAGCACGATTTGCCACACATTGCTGCGTTTAAATATAAATGAAAAGGCCATCAGTGGCCGTTGAGAAAAAAATTTTATAGGATCGAAATTTCTACAGGCGATTTTACTTAATCTCCTTTTGTAAGCCATGCATCATTATTTGTACACTATAGGTAAAGTAAGGACAGCAAAAATCTGAGAAATGTGTCAACTGCGGTCAAAACGTTGAGAAGTGAGATGGCCTATGACTGATTTCTTTGAACGCACAGAGGTCCAAACTTGTCCCCTCATACACCTTCGGAACTCCGCCAGCTTCTTGCTTTTGCGACAAAAAATCTCTACAAGATTGAAACCAACAAGGTACGGTAGCGCGGAATGGAGAAAGTGTACTAGATACCCGTGGCTACCACGGCTAGTTGCTGAATTACTGACCCAAAGGTCAGGTCCTATCGATAAAGAGCTGCAAGAAGCACTTAACCTATATTCAGAGAACTTTTCGAATACGATTCTATTGAACCCGAAAAAAATCAGGAACTTGACGATAAATAATAGCACAAAAGATGCATAGCTCATATTTTACTCAAAAATAGCCCTCAAAAAACTGTACAATGCCCGTCGGATCAATAGCAAATTGAAAAATTTCAAAGTCACAATCGATTCATAGCAAACATGTACATACGAAGACGAGAAATATACAAATACCTTTTAAATATACATGTAAACCACCCGAAATATATAACGGTAAAGAGTTCACGGGAGATCTCTTAGGTGACACTTGATCTGCAAGATTTGGCCGAAACCAAAAATAATCACTACTCAACTAAAAAAAAAGATGAAGAGTATATACATGACTGCCGAAAATTCGGTCACTTGAAACCAAATGCGCATAGTGAAAGAAAACCCAATCATCGGGATCAAGCGTCGATGTGCTGGCTGGTTGAGAATGTTTTACAAGCGGCCGTTTCAAAGGTAGACATTATAGAAATGAAGCAACTTTCCTGCATTTGGACCAATTTGCCCAAATGCAAGTTATACCGAAACTTTTAGCTCTCGTGTCGTTTCTTGACTGTCATTTGATTGGATGTAAGGCAGCAAAAGGCGAGAAGGTGACCAAATCTTTGACACTACAAAATTAATATAAAATAGAAAATATTACATTAATGATTCAATTTGAGTGTCCGTTGTATTTTTATGGTTCGCACCTAATCGTTTCATTGTGACAAATTTGATTGATTTGTTGGTGATGTATATGCACAACAACAGCAATATGGCATAAATGAATATTGGCAACACGACATATAACATTGGGCTGACAAAAATCCAGAAATCCGGATATGTGGATCGGAAATTCTGGATCAGTAGCATGTATGTTGATAAATCAGCATAGCTACCAAGAGAAATCTGAAACATGAATGGATCCATCGTCATTCGAATCTCTCGTCTAATATGTCTACACATCTCATTTGTCTATACGCGTAGCTGCATGGAGGACGTCTAGCGTGTCTAAGTGTCCTCCACTACATTTGTTATTGTTGGTTCTATCCCGTACCAGGAATCATAAAATCATACACCCTTACGGTATAGCCAAACGGGTAGCGAAACTCTTTGGCAGGATAATTACACTTGTTTGATACGACCCCGTGAGCGACTACAAATCCTGTATAGAGTAAATAAATATGCGTTCAATCATCTCTGCAATGTCATGAATGGAGACGACTGCAGGACGCATAACAAAGGGATTCACCAACGCTGAATGCACTTCACGCGTTGTACTTCACTACAAATGTACTAGGCGTATAAATACAGTAATCTGTCACAAAACCGAAAACGGTAATGTGATTACCTGTGAAAGCATGAACGGTACTAATAGAGTTGCGTTATTTGTATAATTTCCTGCCAATGCCAGAAAACACGGCAGAAGCTGAGCAACACGACATGCCGTCAAAATCACGAAGCGTGGTTCACGAAACCAGTTCGGCGACGCTGTTGCCAATATCAGACCTGCAAAATGGTATGTAGTAATAGTGCAGCAATCATCTTACCTATGAAATCACCCATATATCAGAATGATAAGAATGATAAATGATTCTATGTGATAACGGGTAGAGCTAGCCGTCACGCCTCATTGGTCTATCCATGACCAAATTAACACACATAAAAGACAAGCATAATGTCAAAACATTACTAACCTACACTAATCTCTTGTATTAACGCTATTGTTATCATATTCGAAAGATATTTAGCCGACACACCACCACGACAAAAGCGATACCTGGCTGTAGAGTGGGAGTCGGGCTGAAAAAGTAATATTTATTTTGATAAAGTGAAAATAATCGTAAAGGGAGGTTTAGGATAATATCTCAGCAAGATCTATATCGTGTCCTATAGCGTTTACTGGAAGAATTTTTTGAAATTGATGACACGAAGAGCATTTTAGTATTGGTGATGGCTAGTGGATTACTACTAACGACTACTACGATTCAACACATTCCCTCAATGGGTAGACTTGACAGGAAGTCTTTCAAAGTCTGCTTCATAGTGCCGCGCTATTTGTAATGTAATATGCAGTACAAAGCTGCACCTGCATTTATTTCATGCTTAGATAACTTCATCTTCGAAGACTAGTTCCCTTCTAGGCCTTAAGAGTTGCTTACTTTATTGTTGCATGAAAGAAGCTGCTGATTGGGATCCGATGCAGTAGATAGATTATTTTTCTCATTGAGGATATCTCGATCCTAAACAATACAGTATTTCAGCAAAAATAAAGTAAAAAGTTACTTTTGAACACGAGAGATTTTTTGCGACCAAATGGACCGAATATCACGTGCATGTGCCTTCATGCGTGCGTTCTGCTCATTACGAACAACATTACGCAATAGAAAAAGTTTTGTTCTAAAGACGGAGAAAAAATGACATAAATACGATCACATTCTTAAAATTTTGAAAACACGAATATTTATTTACCTTTGGACGAATATACCAATGAAATCGTCTCGGCTTATAGGTATGAGGAATCGAATCGCTTTTTTCCATGTTTCGCTCTGTATCTGAGAAGTACGGTAGAAAAAAAGTACGAATAATTCATATAAAAGAATACCAACAATAAAAAACGAATCAGAACACTCATATAGATTTCCAAAACATTATTTACTGTACTGCCTGAAGGAAACCAAAGAACACGACGAATGCGGTTTCTTACAGATCCTCACGACTGGATTCGCCTAGTCAACTAAAAAAAACATGGCACCATCGATTTCCCCAGAAATTTCAAGATTGTTTAGCAGAGAAAATGATAGTAGAGCACTATTACACTATAGTGAAAATGATTACACAGGTGAAACACGAGTGGAAACGAGTCGAGAGCATGCGTATGACTTGATAGCATACGGCTCCATGACTTGTACGAGCTGCCGCGCTTCAACTCAACGCTTGCTCTCAGAGATTGCCAGAACATCAGCGAAACTGTTTAAAACTTCTTTCAAGCTTATTGTCATGTGTTCGCCAGCTGATGATCAAAATCATTTGAAGTATAAGGAAGTCTCTGAAACGCGTTGGAAGTCAACCAAGTGACGGAAGTTTCTCCGGGTTGAAAGCGTTATCGTAATACAAAAAAGTTAAAAACATGATTAGCAATATTTCCTTTTTTCCGATTTGCTGGTTATTTAAGAAATAATATTTTTGGTGTAAAATTATTTAAGAAATAATATTTTTGGTGTAAAACAATATTTTGCCTAAACATTACATTTTATGAGAAAACGCTTTTGTCATACAATAGAGTCCAACGCGGGTACACCAGGGATGGCACGTGATGAAGAGAGGATTTCTGTACAAACTGAACGATCACACTTCCACTAAAACTAACGTGGTAGGTGTTGTGGTTTTCCAAAACGTGACAGAGCAAAAATGTGAAAATACCATGAAACTCGAGATTCATTTAAAACTGAAGCGATTAATGATTTTCTACATGATTCAGCCGATACGAGGTTACAATAAAAACTTTTCGAGATATAAATGAAGAGATTACTATTGTTAGTTATGTAAAGGTGAACAGTTAACGGATCTCGTGAATCTGTTAGGCATTTGTGAGCAAACATCGTTGAAAAAGACAAGCGACAGTACAAAAAAATCGCTAGGAACTTCTATGAGAATAAACAAGACTTCTTCTCTCTCATCACTATCATACGAGTGCTATCGGGAAGAACAGCGACTCGGGAACAAAACTTTTTCATTTTAAAACACTCAACTCAAGTTTTTCCGAGCACGGAATAGGAAGGAGTAAAGGATACAATTATTTAAAAAGAAAGGCCTTTATAGCGCGATGACAACAGATCGTCGTTTTTAATTCAAATATAAACTGAAAAAGCATTTGAAAAATGTACTTTGAGGAAAAATGCTGAAAAACTTCGAGAACCTTTTCTTGAAATTTTTCAGAGAAGAAATTCAAAGCGATCCAACACAAAACTTCGAAAATGTTACAAGTACACAAAGATAATTGGAACATTTAGCTCTCCTTAGGCTTAGGCTATGACTACTTGAAAAACATTAATTCAGCAATGAAACCAATTTTTCCGAACACGTAACTCCTTAGAAAAATTATCCTAAACGAAGAAATACGTAAAAGATCCTACAGTAGTGTGAATAAAGCTAGTGAGAACTTAAGAGAACTACGATAAAAAGAATCCTTGGACTAGTATAAACAGGTGCAAGGGATTCTACGATTGATAAACGCTAACATCCTTGAAGTACCGCATTCAGAATGTGTGCAGATATACAGCGTCAGGCTTCAATAACATATTTAAAAAAAGTAAAGATAAAGTAAAATAAATGAAAAGTAAATAGCCACAGAAATAGGCAGATTATCTGAAAAGCATCGGCAAAATCTGATGGGAAATTCTTCGCCATTATTCAGATGTCTAAGCTGAATGAACTATGGAGGGAGAAACCACAGAGAAGCGATAAAAAAATCCAAACGCATGGAAGCAGAATGTTGAGTAAGGATCGTGACGCTCGAAGACCATTAGTGTATAATAAAGTACGTCAACGTAATTCTTCAACGCATTTACTTTAAAATTATATTGCCCATTTTTACAACGCCAGTAGTAACCCAGTTGACTGGAATCTCGGCCGGTGCGGAAAGTCTATTTTCACTTTTTTGTGCTAAAATCACAAAATAGAGGTGGCATTGAGTTGCCCTCATATGAGAGAGCTCCTCTGATTAAAGAATGCGTAAAGAATAAACAGTTGAATAATCGAAATTGATTAGTCTCTGAGAGTGACGTCATAAATTCAACTCCATTTGTAGCGTCGTCGAAGTGACTGAATGCGTATTTGACTCCTACGAAGACTTGGGAAGCTTACGGATATATTACCTTTTTATCCTCTTTTACAAGACTGGTCCCAATTTGGTGAGCTCAGCGGTAGAGAGGGCATGGTTAGGTTGGCATGAGGTTTTGAACCAAAGATTCTTTTTTATGACATGGCAGAGTAGTCAACCAAGATTCATGGAATCTTGGAAAATCACCAGGAAATAAGCTTCCAGTGCTGAAATCTCTGAATTTGAAGGAATCCTCAGTTTAGATACTTCACGACGTAGTTTCATTGCTTCTTTTTCGCAAAAGCAAAGGCGAAAATATTAGCAATACAATAAAGAAGACGGAAAGATAAAGAAGCACACAAATACCATAAAGTAGCATAAAAAAAGTTGACTAGAAAACTACTGAAGAACTACATAACTTTTTTATTAAGGTGCGCAGATCATCAGTCATGAGGTTATCAAGTGGTTGGCGCGTGAGCGGCGAAAAAAGCGGTGATCGTTTTTCGTCTCCGTTCCATGGCGACTTTACAAATAGAAAACTTCTTTAATTCTATAACAGTGAAACTCAGTAAGTAACATAAGTACGGTGGAAAAGTATGGATGCTGGAGGAAGTAAAAAAAGCGACAGATAAAAAGCATCGAAGTTGTTCCAGACAGGAGAGAAAGAGATCCTGAAAGAATCACAAGACGTCGGTTGACGTGCATTGTTAGAAAACAATCGCGAAAGTTTTTAGAAAAATGGCGTAAAATCAAAATGGGGTAAAATCAGAGTACAATCCTATAAAAGTGCATCGGGACTAATACCACTAACTATGGTGTTAATATTACTTCAAATACTATTATAAATAATGTACTACTTTTATGTTACTACAGAAAAAATGCTGAACGCTTTGTTCATTGGTTAAAGAAGTCATGAAATAAGAAATTTTACCACAATGTTGCTGAGATATTTGCAAAACTCCGGACCGCCGGTGTTTGCGATAGGGACCGAACAAGCTACTACCCTTTCCATGTGATAACGAGTTCACCAAAAAAAGCACGGCGTGGTGGTGAATGCGTTGGCCCCCAGAAAGGGTAATAACGTGTTCGGTCTCCACCACATACACCAACGGTCCGGAGTTCTGCAAGTATCTCAGCAACATTATGGTTATATGTCACATAACACCCTGCCATTAAAAATTACTAAGCAGCAGATGAAAATTGACGACATTAAGAAATGCCGATGTGAGTGGGATACTGAACTAAAAACCCTCTCTACCTCTCAGATCTTGTTGTCATTTCAGCCGGACGAACACCTAATACAAAATGTGAAGGATAGAGCGTTCAATCCCTGACGGATTCATTATAAATTCAACTCGAATCGTAGAAATGATAGAGTCCAAATTGAGCTATGCTGTTATGTACGGTGACCTATGCAAACAACAAGTCGGCGTTATAGCACTCCCAGATCAGTTTAGTACCAGTTCCCTGAACCCGTCACGATAGGGAGTTGAATAACAAGGACAGGATCAGAGTCTATCCTAGAGAAGTGTGAAAAATTCTCGATTCTATTTAATGGCACACTATCAACATGGCATGGTGAAGTTACTTGGGTGAGAAATGATGAAATTGTATCCAAAGACTTATCATGTATAGCCCGATCATGTAAATTGGGTATGATTTAAATCGGGAATCCATGGAAATAGTAAACCAATGCGAGGAACGTGGCCATCCTGGAGGGGAGTCAAGTCGAATGGCTTCAAGGCACGCTCACCAAGTCAATAACTACCAATGCTGAATGTCTAGGAACACGATGCCAAAGACTATCATGGGTGTTCATTAGATAGACGCTTGGCCACAAATATCCTTTCAACTAAATATTGTTTTAGTGTGAGGTGACCCAGAGATTGATTATCTGTAACCAATTGCATGAAAAATACAATGGAACACATAATTTTTACAGAACTGAACACTTTTTGCAACAAATCAGTGATTGAAGCAATATTCAATATCCATGTCAATGATATTGATCGATTTTATTGATTACTGGGAAAATCTTAGTCTCTCTCCTTGTCTGCAAAATGCAAAATCGTTTCGGGAATTTTTTCCCGAAGAATCGCTATCAGATCGGGTTGGCTTAAAAAATACACAGGTCTAGTCTCAGTCTCAGTAAATCTTAGTCTGAAAAAATATAGTGAAATGTTGTGAGCTGTTGTTTTCGAATGTTAAGCACGTTTGCTCCGTCTTTTGGGACGATACATTTTTTCTTCCGCGAGATTTTCAATATATGTGAAGTCCGTACGACTCCGGTTGTATTGTTTCTACCATGTTCCCCTTTTTAAAGCCGTTCAGAAATTTTTCTGAGGTTGTTAGACACTGAGATGAGAAAGAAACCAGGGCTTTTCCTTCACTGCAACAAAAGCTCTATACGGTATTTCTTTTCTAGACTCGTTAAATCTTGGTCATTTTTCACATTCGTGCTTTTTTCTTCTTTTCTCCTCGTTCTCGCTAAAGTATTCTTTGTAAGAATCACGCAAGGTATGAAATAAAGCCAAAAATTCGCAAGAAAAATCAAAATCGTGTACCAATTCGAACCCAACATACACATGAGTCTCCTGAGTTTTCCCATTCATTTCAAGAATAGCAGATTTTAGTAGGACAATGAAATTCGTGCAAAACTTTCTCGGAGTCCCACAGAACGTCGTTGCCGATGAAGTAGAAACAAGAAGCATCAAATAGT